CGGCTCCCGACGCCGCAGCTCCACACTGCAAACGACCACTCGGACAGGCGACCACGGTGCGACATTATGGGCCGGCGGAATGATCGGAGAAGAAATCACAAAGCTTAACTGGGTAAGGTTCGGCAAGGCGGGTCCACACCACAAGATCCCAGAGACGGGGTCAAGGCCAGTAAAGACAATGTGGGGATTGCCAGACAAGGAACCTAAACCCTTTCTACAACTGCATCGCGGCCTCAGAAGAGCGCTGGGGCGATGTCGGGCCCGGCAGGCGACGCGAGCGGACTTTCTCCAGCGGGCACCGATCGCACACATGTCGAGGTCGAACGGCACGGCATCGCGGGCCCCCAGCAGGGCTCTCAGGGCGCGCGCGCGCTCCAAACAAAGGACCCACCTGGGTTCTCGAGGTAGACGGGGACCCCCAGGGAGCGGGCCAGCGCGATGAGGCCGAGGACGAACCGAAGCTGCGTGTTCCCCAAGTCGACGGCCGCCTGCGGCCTGGCTGCCAGGTTCGGCAGCCCCCAGACATGTTCCCTTGAGCGGATGGTGCACCAAGACGACCCGGGCGGCCCGTGTCTGGCCTGGCTCCAGGACGAACACGGCAGGGCGATCCAAAGAGCGGCGGCGACTCAACCACGAACCCGCCCGCGGACGACGTGACGGACGGCAGGATGGTCGAGGTCGAACCACGGTTTCGAAGCGAAGTCCATCGGCAGCGCGGCAACCCCGCGGCGTCGAGCGGCAGCGGACAGGCGACCTGTGCCGGCGAACAGCTCCAGCACAGCAGTCCGAGGGACGCCTTTGTGACGCTTGAAGCTTGCGCGAAGCTGTCTGAGGAGGCGACGATGCATCGACTTTGTCGAGGGGCCCCACTCGGTCGGTTTTGCGAGCTCTACCGCCCGCGCCAGGCCAGGCAGAGCTCGGGCAGCGGCGAACCCTGCAGGAAAATCCGCGGCGGGGCGGCGCCCATCGCTTGGCCGAAAGAGGTCACCTCGGGGCCGACGCGCTGCAGCTCAGCCAGGATGCGAGCCTGCTCGGCGTAGCGCTTGAAGTTCAGATCGGAGGCCCAGCTGCCGCGCTGCTGGACGTCGAGAGCCGCCCGCCTCTTTGCTAGGAGGTCGTCGAAGACGCCCCCGCGGCGTAGCCCGTAGGCTGGGGCGGGAAAGTCGTTCAACTTGAGAGCGCAGGCGGCCCCTCTCATGCGCGTGCCGAGCGAGGCGGGCGGGAATGACCGGATCCGCGACGTCCCCGACGGCGCACGGCGCCTCAAGCCGAGGAGCGCTGGAACCAGGAAGACGAAGGTGTCGAGCACCACCGTGAAGTCCCAGAGGCCCGTCTTCCCGGGCCGCCCCAATTCGCCGGGATATAGCAGCAGCGCAGCGAGCCCCTCGCCCGCGGCGCCCGCCGCGACGGGGGGGCGACCTGCATGGCCGTGAACTGGTCGCACTCTGACGGCCGGAGGTAGCACGCGAAGCTCAGCATCATGGCGACGGCCTGCTCGATCTGGCCGCGGCGCACCATCACGCCCGCCAGCGTAGCCACGAGCAGCCACGGGAACGGCGCGCGCGCCCTGCGGGAGACGCACTTCCCCCGCCCCTCCAGGCCGCGAGGGGCTCGGCAGAGCGCCTGGTCGCCCCAGCGGCCGATCTGCGGCGGGAAGAACTTCAGCGCGGCCAGCAGACGTGAAGCGTCGCCCCCGCTGTGGCCGCGAAAATACAAGTAGTCGAAGTAGGTCACCACTATCACGCCCAGCTGGCCCGCGCTGCTCCAACCCAGGCGGAGCTGGGCACGCCAGTCGGCGAAGGCGCCCGCCCTCCGCTGGCACCTCTGCTCGAGGTATAGGTGATCCCCATCAGGAGCTCCCCCTCCAGGGCCTCGCGCTGGCGGGCAGCAGCCGCCTGCGGGGCGGCGGCCGCCAGGGTCCCCGCCCCAACGGCCAGGGGGGCGGGCTGGGGAAGAGGGGCGCGCCCTGTCCGCATCGAGGGCCGCGCCGAGCGCCCCCGCTTCCCCGCGGCAGCCTCGAGGATCATGGAGGCGGCCACCAAGAGCAGCAACCACCTCCGCGTCAGCCGACTTGATGTATCGGGGCCGCGCGACGGCGCACCCGCGGGGTTGAGCTCGCCGGGGGCCCACTGGGCCCAGGCGCGGATCCGGCGGGCCACGGAGCAGGCGCAGATCTCACGGAGGACGCCGCGCTGCTGCGGCAAAGTCCCTCGGCCCTTCCCGATGGCGAGGGCGAGTGACATATTGTCGACCAGGCACGCGATCCACTTCCCAAAAGCGCCCGCTGCCCTGAGCTGGCGGCGCAGCGCGGACGCGACGGCGAGCCTCCGCCCGGTAGATGTCGAAGGAGCCCCTCCAGGGGAACGAGCACGAGCGCGCGATGGCCCAGCCATCCTCGGTGAGGAGGTCCGGGTCGACCTCGCCGAAGGACTCGACCCGGCTCTCGGCCTCATCCGTCGGCAGGCTGCCAGGGTCGCGAAGCACAGTGCCAGGTTCCAGG